GAGCCAGTTCTGAGGTAGGTAATCTAGGAAATTTAGGTGGGTGCATTTCGAATGCCAACCTATACCTATCCTCAGGTGACAACCCTGAAGGAAGTTTTAACTTAGAAACTTTTTCTTTGAATTTTTCCTTCAAGGTCTCAGCCGCTTGATGCACCGTGGATTCCAAGTGTGTGGGATCATAAGTAGTTTCGAAATAATTTTGAAAAGCCTTAATCTCTTTGGCATGAGTAAACATACCTTTCTTGGATGGTACCTGCACATCGAATGCATCAGTTAGTTTCTGCTGAATAGTAAGAGTATCGAACATATAAGTCTGATAGAACTTTGTCCACCATTCCAGAAACCCCTTTGCTGTAAGGTGTGTAGGTTCGAAAGTTATTAGTTCAAAATGGGCGAAGCCTTGGTATTGTTCCTGCTGTAGTTTGGCTTCTCGTGCCTTGAAGGTTCGCCCATAGGTGATGGCATTTTCCGTTTGAAATAGGGGTTCAGGAATTAATTGGCACAAGCCAAACTGTCTCGAAACGAAGTTGGGCTGATAAGCAAAAAGGAAAATTTGATTCTTAGCAGGAGTAATTCTTGAAGAGATTAGTCTGGGTAGCAAAAAGGCTCTCCATACGTCTTGAATTTCTTTGCTTTTGACAGCTTCTGAGAGAGCCATGGTGAACCATGAAGGTCCATGAGCCCTTGAAGCAAAAGGCGCCATGGTCTCTTCGAACTTATGCCTCTTGGAGAATATCATGATATATTTTGAGAATAGAACTTTGAAGTCATCCTTATCATCGTTTGGGGTTAGTCTTCGCAGCCTAGTGCCTTCGATGATTCTATCCACTATTTCTGGGTCTTGTTCAGCAATAGTGTTGGCAGTTGATAATGAAGGTTCGAACATGGCATTTAGCCATAACTGAAGTAACCAGAAAGGGCCAGCTAGCAGGATATTCTTGGAGGTGTGAGATTTTAGACTCGAAACAGCTGACCTTAGACTTTCATAAAGATCAACTAATAGTAGTTTGCTTAAGCACACCCTCCGATTCTCATGCAAATCTCTAGCTAGAGGAATAAACCTACTGGCTACCTGTAGGGATCTGCTGCAAAAGACATACCTTGACAGCCATAAGGTAAGGAAAGCAATGTGTTCTACATCTGACACACTGTCTCCTTCAGTGTGATAGTGGCTGATAAACTTTGAAAAGCTTGCTAGCTTGACTTCGAAGTCGATAATACTCGAATGCTCTTCATTGTCAGGGATATATGTTTCTCCTATTTGTGATAGCCCAGTAATGGCCGCTATGTCAAAAAAGGTAGGGGTAATCATTCCACCAGAGAGATGGAAAGTATTGTAAGTATTGTCCCAGAAATATAGGGACGCGAATAAAAATGGGTGGCTATAAGTAAAACCTGGTTTCGACAGTTTAATCAAGTTAAAGATACCTAATTCTTCCCATTGCTGGGATTTCTTAGCTTCTACCTTATTAAACCAGTTGTGATAGGCTGTGTCGGAGGTGGGGCAAGATCGAAACGGTTTGAAGTTACTCTTTACATAATCTAGTACAAAAGGGTCCTTAGGGGGAACGATTGGATTTTCTACGGTGGTTGAATCAGAAGACTCTATAGTCTTAGGGCTATCCATTTTATTAAACAGAGGTTTGAAATTATAGCAAACTGGGAAAATTTTTCTGGTGTCTTTTAAAATTTCAAAGACTGTAAGAGGGCCCATTAAAGCTAACCTCTTGCCAGCAGCGTTAGTAGGAATTAGTACCTGGGATGCATAAAGCATTTCTTTCTCTTTTGAGATCATCTGGGGAACAAGAACAGATTGACCTTGGTAGGTGTCAACCTTGCTTTCCATTGTGGTTCCTGTGGTCTTTCCTTTCTTTTTGGAAACCTTTTTTAGTTGAGATGAAGTTGAAGAAGACATTGTTGGAAGAATGTTGGGAGTTTAGGGTTTCAGTGAGAAAAGAGGAAGAAAAGATTCAGAATGTGGGAAGAAAAGAAAAGACTAAGTTGATGGGTTTTTATAATGTGGAAGTTTAAGCATCCACTGAGTAAGATTGTGATACGTGGTAGTCGTGGGTTGGTTTGATGAAGAGGTGGCGTAAAGTTAATATTGGTAATAGGCGTGATTAAAGATAATCATTGTTTTGTAACTGCACCATGCTGTGAAATGGTTCAAGGCGATTAAGGAATCTGAAAAGCGTTATGATTGACGTGACTGGAGTCATATGCAATAAATGTTACGATGATTCGAAGGTCGCATCAAAATCTTGTGTATATGTTTAAAATAAGTATTTCTCAAAGGAATCGAAATACATATTTTAAAGGGGCATTTTGTTGGCTGAAGATTTTGATGATATTATTAGAAGTAAAGTAAATTGGACGTTTCGATTGAAATGAAACAAAACGTCATGTTTCGAAATGGTAGAAGCAGTGCTTCGAATGGGCATATCAAAGCTTGGAGCTTCGAGTGACAGTTATGAGAATATATTCAAAGAAGTCTCGAAATGATAACAAGGTTGTGTCTAAGAAATGCATTCGAAGCGAAGAAGTGCCAAAACATTTGAAATTTAAATGCAAGCGGGATGTTCGAAATTTGAAATATATGCGCTGGAGCATTCGAAGACGCGTGAAAGCAAGAGAGAGGCATTGCTCTGCATGTTCTGAACGTGGCAGAATCTTATAGCAAGACCGTTATGGTCGAAGTAGTATAAATAGAAGTCTTAGCATTAGGATTTCGTGTGTCATATCTATTGTACAAAAAAACTCAGTAAACATTCAAATTACCACATGGCTAGGGAAACGAATGCACGAGTAATGTACGTATGATAACACCACATGTTTATGATTTAATGAAAACTCTTATCATTTCCAGTACTTTCCTTTATCTTCATGTCAATACCATTTACAAGCTTTTGCATTTAAAATGTTTTCATTCGAAGTCTTTTTACTGATGCCTTACATTTAAATATTTTCTTTCCATTTCAAATACTTTACATTTCAGAAACTGTTATACATTTCATGCCTTTATTTTCAAGTTTTTATCATTCGAACACCTTTTTTACTTAAAGTCATTTCAAAGTTTTCTTGCATTTAAACGCTTTCTTCATATTTCGAATCTTTTACATTCAAGAGAATCTTTTACATTAACCGTTTTTATGCTTCAAAGTCATTTACTTGTCTTTTATGCAGTTTTTACATGTCTTTACAATTGACCTTTATTCATGCAATTTAGTTTCGCGCACATTTACTTGATCACACCTTTAGATCTTTAATAGAGAAATCGAAATAAGTTAAACACCTACACAACATTCTAAATACCAACCATGAATACCAGTTCGATCATGAGAGTTACCCTAATGACCAACACATCCTAGGATCAATCTAGTCGATCCTGCGAGTTACCAGAGAAATTGAATAACAGTCAGTAAGATTATTCGATAGTTTGGAGGACTAGCGGTTGTTTACCAGAAATCACTGTAAACAGAGAGAGAGAGAGAGAGAGAGAGAGAGAGAGAGAGAGAGAGAGAGAGAGTTTCATGACGGAGCTTTCACGTCATCCAGAAAAACTACGTGGTGTTAAACCTAGGCGCGCCATGTTTTATATTTTTTTAATTATAAAAATAATAATTTATCTCAGTTTCTAATATATCTGACGGATAAAACTAATACGGACGCACTTTGAGGCCAAACTTTTGCAATTTATATTTTATTTTGATTATAATTGTAAACTAAAACAACTACCTTTAGGTTTTTCAATATAACTGAGGGATCAACTAAACAAATTTCACTATAAAAACAAAAAGATTTTACTCTAATTTTTATTTATTTGAAGCTTCCCCAAACTCGCAAGCATCATTCTTTGGGATGGATTGCAAGACAGAAAAATCTTCAATGTTTTTATAGAACAAAACGTTTTTTCTGCCATCGCAATTTATCTCACATAATGGTGTTGATGTTGTTGTTGTATTTTTGCTCATTAGATAGATTGCAAGTGCAGGAAAAAATATTTTTGATTCAAGGGAATAATGAAGGAAGCTCAATTCTTTTTTTAAAAGTTACACAATGAAGGGAGCTTAACTAATGGATGATGGATATCAACAAAGATATTCATTCAAAAAAGCAAAGATTTGTTTTAAACTATTTACTTTAATATTTTGTACAAATAATGTAAGTTCCAACAAATTTTTTTTTTCATCTCGATTTAAAAAAAAACAAGATGATAACTATAATCAAAAGATTTAATACCTCAATTTTATGCTAACATCGAGGGATAAAGTTATCAGATTTTACTATAAACTAGTGTATATACCCATGCGAGACACAAATTTAAATTAAAGAGAAGAGAAAAAATATTTTTTATGTATTTATAATTTTCAAATTATATATATATATATATATATATATATATATATATATATATATATATATATATATATATATATATATATATATATATATATATATATATATATATATATATATATATATATATATATATATATATATATATATATATATATATATATATATATATATATATATATATATATATATATATATATATATATATATATATATATATATATATATATATATATATATATATATATATATATATATATATATATATATATAACAATAATAAAATAGAGATATGTAAGGTTTATATTCAATATTTATAATTAAAAAAAATTTATCACAAAAAACACATTTGATGAGTAATGAGGGTTTGCTTTCATGTCTTCCTTCCATGATTAAGTATTAGACATCTATCTCCACAAATTATTTCTATGAGAATTATACTATCTTTTTCATTCTCAATGAACTTATACAGTGAATTGCCAACATATCTTCACCCATCAAGTGAAATACTATTCTAGACAGACTATACTAATGTTCTCAAACCAGGTTATAACACAGGAGATTATAAACTCTATTTCCATGCTTTGGGAACCATATAATGCTTGTCCAAGATCTCCATTTTCACTTACAATCATGAACCGCCACTAATTTTGTTCCATCCGAAAAGCCAACTTCAACTTGTTATCTTTATAAATTGAATCATGTCCACTTCGGTGGAAGAACTCTACTGCATACACAACTCCAGTCTACATAAACATAACAGGTTATTCAAATCATTCCTAAATCACAAATTGTTAAAAACAGATAATATTTTATTAATACTCAGTGGACCAACAATATCAGACACACATGAGAGACAGTTGTTTCATAAGCAGCTCATAGTAAGCACTAGGTTTCTGTATAGAAATACATAACATAGTCTGATTATGTCATGTAAGAGATAATGCTGAAGAAAATGAAGCCTCTTACAATCCAAATGTGGTCAACACTGCCAAGGACTGCAACTGCCAACTTTTAACGAAAAGGGTTCCAAAATTTATACTCAAACTTTGTACCATCCTCATTCTGCAGTTGCCATGACACAATAAATTAAGTATTACACAAACTTTTAATTTTGAAACCATCGCATAAAGAAATATTTTGCAAGCTTTAATCAAACATTGTTGCTTTAAAAAAGAGAACAATATTACTGAATAGTAATAGTAAAGCATGTATAGTATAAACGAATTAGGGCATGTTTGGATAACCATGCCTATTTGCAGCTTAGAACAACCAAACCAAGTATCGCGATCCCTACACACACAAAATAGCACATTACCTTTCTGAAAATTGGATACTCGACTTTGAATCTTGTACGAGTAAATTGTTCACATAAACCAAAATATCCATCTCATAACCAAAACTTTCTTTCATCCATTAACTTTAATTTTCAAACAAACAAAAGCTTCAATACACAAACTCATTAACCTGCAAAAATAATCTTCATATATCTCTTTACAATACAATAACAAACAATACAAAAACTTCATTCATCTTCACCTTCTTCAATAGCTTCAACCTCCATAAATTTGCATCTCACCCTCCTTCCAACCAACAACAACAATCAGAACTTGCAAAAAATAGAAGAAAAAAAATAGAAGCAGAAGAAAAGTTGCTGAAATCCAACCTTCATTTCTCAAAATCTCAGCTCCGACACCACCCTTTCACTTGCTGGAAATCTCAGATCGACACCATCCTTCACATGGATAACAAAACTATGGATTTCTTCTGGTATTTTCGATGAAGGATCAGATTTCTATTTGTTTCTCGTTCTAATAGATTTTTCTCATACATGCAGTTAAGAAATAAAATGTCATTTTTAATTCACAATAGGGATTAGCCAAGAATAGTTAGAAAATAAAATTAAAGGACTGTTTAGATTTTGAAAACATTTGTATCTCCATTTTCTATTTTTAGTTTTGACTAAGAAGTGTTATATCGTTGTGTAGAAAATAGGAAATACACTACAACTTTGTAGTGTTCTCATTATTTTTGTAATAAAACCTAAAATCAGAACATTGAAACAAAGTCAAAATATTTCTACAAATAGAAAATAAATACAAAAACTAAATCAGCCCTTAAATTCATGATCTTCATGGGGATCAATAATCTTGAAAACTTAAAATAACAAAAAAAAACCTTTCCTCAGTAATTGATATGCATGACATACTATCAGATTCGTCATCGCCACTACATTCTGTTTTCCTTGATTAAACACATCGAAGCTCTCTCTCCTCACATTCGCAACATAAAACCTACACAAAAACGCATCAAATTGAATTTATCAAATATAAGTTTTTCGAACATTTTGAACCAGATTCATAGATCCACATACTTTTTGCTTGAGTACACACAACTCCTCCTGGACGAAGAGCCCTTGCAACTGACTCAAAAAGGGCTTTTCAAAAAGCTCTTGAGCATGGCCTAAATAATATCAAATACAAAATAAACAAAAAAGCAATTATATTAACTGTAAAGAGCATAAAAATTATAAGGCACTTCAGATATACCCTAGCAATAGGATCAAATGAATCCACTATAACTGTGTCATAAGGTCTTTTTGGAGTTTCCCTAAAAAATGCAACTCCTAGAACATTGAGAGCAAACCATTGTTATAAATGTTATCCTAAAACTGAGAAGTGTTTAAGAAATATCAAGGAACAATGAGGGGAACTGGTTATATCATCACCAATATTAAGTGTCACATGTGGATCCGTAAAACCTACAACTATATCAGGGGAAAATTCTTTTGAGACATCAACAACCATCTTGTCTATTTCGCAAATGTCAATCTTTTCGACTAAAGAGTGGCGTGCAACTTTCCGCAGGACTCACCTGTAACGCCCGTAATTTAATTAATTATTTAATTAAATTATTTTTGGAATATTTGTGAAGTTGTGTTATAATGATAGTTGATGTATTGTGATTAGTTGGATTTAATTATTTTATTAAGTTGTGAAATAATATTAGAATGATAATATTATTTGATGTGGGCTTGTTTTAAAGGATATAAGTAGTAAAAGGAGGGGTGTAGTAGTTTTAAGCCCATTAAGGCATAAAGAGAATGATAGAGTTATTTTATTATTGTTAGAAATAACAAGAAAGAAGAAGCAGTAAGAAGAATAAGGGTTAGAGAAAGAACGTAAAAGTTGTTGGAAAGGAGGAAGAGGGACAAAAGAGAAAACCAACCGGAAAGTTATAAAGCTACCTTCAATCCAAGGTAAGGGTGAGGTTCTGACTCTATAATAGGGTTTGTGATAATTGGTATGTGAAGTTAGAGGTGAAATATCGTTTGGTTTATGATTGAATTATATATGATGTTGTATGATTAAAATCGATGATTGAAAGATGAATAACGATGTCCTAATGTTGTATATTTGATGTAGAATTATAGGGTAATTATAATTGATGATAATTTGTGATTGGGTGATGTTTTTAGGGCCTAAGGTATGGAAACCGTAGTGAAAACACAAAGAAATCGCAAAAAATATCCATGACAGAGCAGTATGTGTCGACCCTAAACGTTATGTATCGATACAAGAATGTTGTTAGACTTAGTATGAGTCGACACGAAGGAGTCATGTATCGATACATGAGGGCCTTTAGACTCAGGATGAGTCGATACATAGGAGCATGTGTCGATACATGCAGTGTGGCAGACTCAGTATGAGTCGACACGAGAGAGTATGCATCGACTCATGTAGCATGATCAGTTCAGTACGTGTCGACCCAAGGCATTATGCGTCGATCCATGTTGTCTGGTTTTTGGTAGAATCAGTTTGAGAAGGCTGTAACTTGAGTTTTTGGACTCCGGTTGAGGTGTCGTTCGAAACGTTGAATAGCTAACGTGATGAACTTCATTCTTACGGATTAAAGTGAATAATAGTAAGGATAATCCTAGTATCCAAGTTAGGAATCATATTAGTTCCCGTGTTGATCATTATGTTGGTTTTTGTGAAGAATGATGAGGATGAAACGTTTATAGATTACTGTTGGTTTGTAACAGTTGCATTTTAGCTACAAGCAGCTAGCTACGGGTCGGTCAAGGCCTTGTCTCAAACCCTATGAGGGTTTGCGGCCTTGCATTTTAGCTCTCAGCATCTAGCTACAAGAAGGTCAAGGCCTTATCTCAATTCCCTCGTAGGGAATTGCGGCCTTGCAGATTCCGTCAGCTACATTTATAAGGTCAAGGCCGTGTCTCAATCCCCGATAGGGATTGCGGCCTTGGCTTGCCTAGGAATTCGGTCAAGGCCGTGTCTCAATCCCCGATAGGGATTGCGGCCTTGGCTTGCCAATAGATTAAGTCAAGGCCTTGTCTCAATCCCTGAAAGGGATTTAGGCCTTGCTTTATCTTAATATTCCCGGTTAGTAACCAGGAAGCTCTTTCAGGTTCTTTTCTGGAGATAACCGGGGGTTCCTTGAAAGAAAAGAACAAGAGCTGCCCGTACAAACAACCCTAGTTAGTAGCGACGGGCAGCGACGTAGGAGCTATTAGTAATATAAGCTTGCGACGGAGGAGCAAGGAAGATTATATAGGATTAATGATGATACTGATGTGGTATTATAGAATAGTAATATTGTTGTACCCCAAAATTTTCCCTCTCATTTATCAAGTAATTTCTCACAAGATCTCCTTTGGTTCAAGACTGCACTAGGGTTGATCAGCTCAAGACACCTCCTTAAGTAATGATGACCAAAATTAGGGTTTGAGATTGCACAAGGATAATTGAAATTTAAATGCTTCATATGACTTTCATGGATTATTATGGACCCCCAAGGTTACTCATGTCAAGTTTCAAGCCTTGGATCACACTTTTGCTCAGTCAATTGAGCAGTTGACCTAAAAATCAGCTGTATTGGGGAAAAAGTCAACTATGGTCAATTTACAGTCAAACTTCATAATTTTTATCCATATAAATATTATAAAATCATATGTATCATTTGATAAAGTTTGGACCATAATTCCTCAAGAAATTTGATCAAATCATCAAAAGGGCAAAATGGTCAAAATTAGGGTTTTGACTGAGAAAGGGCAATTTCTGATTTTTGACCTAGCAAATGGTCAATTGGTTTGAAGCATGGTTACAAGAGTTCAATTGCATCTTTTTGACCTAATGTCATGACCTAAAACATTGCTCAAGATCAATTAGATTGATAGTGAATTCTCAGTAACCTGATCAAAAGTCAACTATACACTGAAAAGTCAAACTTTGACTTTTTAGTCAAAATCTAATGTCAAAGATCACAATTCATCAAAACATGTAAAAGTATGAAACTTATTCATCAATAAATCAAAAAGTCAAGATTTCATTTTGAAAAGTCAAAGTTTTCTAACTTAAAAATTTTTCTAAGTGTTTAAAACATCATGTTTTTTCACAACTTTGAGTACATTTTTCACCATGATGCAAGAGGATTCAAAAGAAACTTTCAACATGAAAGTTGTAGATATCCATGATATCTACAACATTTCTTTACAAAACTTCTTCTAAAAATTCTTGGATCTCAAGTTATTAATTCATAAAGTCATGGTCTTGAAATTGAACACTTAGTGAAGTTTTACCCTAGTTTTGGTCAGGATTTTGACCTAACTTCATGGCACTTTTTCATATAGTTCCAAATAGAATTTTCAAAAGTGATTCAATGAGGGGTTATAGAGAACATTACAAACTTTCCAAAATGTTAAAGAACTCCTTGAGATCATTCTTGAGCAGGGAGAATCGAAGAGAGGAAGTTAGGATTTTCAAACTTGAATTACAAGTCATTTTGTGATGAACAAAATTCAAATTTCAAACCTATGCTGCACAATCTTGCTTTGCAGGCCTCTAAACATCAAGGTCTCTCCATAATCAGAATATTACACTTGCTTTTGAGCTATTATCCACTTGATCCAAGCTTTATCCAAGAAAAAATTTCATTAATGGCACAAAGACACCATTGCCATTTACATAAAGCAAGCTTTATGCAATGTCAACTTGCATTGAGCTTTGCACTGGTTCCCTTAGCACAAGCTTCGTCTACAAAGTCATACAAGCTTTTTAAAAGTTGGCAACCACCCTACATGCTTGTACTTGCTGCCTTCAAACCAGATTTTTTCACTTTTCTTCAAAATCAAGCAATTGAGCCATAACCCTATAACTCAGAAACCTTTTGTGCAATAGCTCTCCAACCTTTTCCATACATAAACACAAGTCTATTGCAACATAACACACGAATGCTAAGACCCCAAAACACTCCCAAGCGCTCTGCAACTCAGAATCTACCTTAACTTTAGAGTTTTGAACCTCACATAGCCATCTCCAAATCCACTCGTGCGTATTGAGTTTTAACCATCCAAACACTTAATATACATCATATCAAGATATTCAGACCCCTTTTTCTTGACTATAACTCCTCCATCACCATCCACCATTTCCAAATTTGAACCTTGCAACTTGACTTGAGTTGGGAGTTTCAGTCATCCTCAAAGCAAAGTAGGAGTTGGAACACACTCAAGGAGGTCCAGGCAAGCTACAGAAATCATCAGGCCATCATAAAGGTTGCTCAAACTCCATACACGACTCCATCTGCAAGAGGTAAGTTTTCAAACTTCTATCTCTTCATACAAGCATCATTTGAGTTTGATTTGTGAAGATAAAATGTAGATACCATTGCCACGAAGCTGTACATATCCATAGTTTGCATTTATATGGCCTGAGCTTAGAGAATTTTAGAGTTGAAGTTCTCTGAAATTTTTAGGTTTTAAATTAGGGCCAGAAAAATTCTCATTCATCTTTGACTATTAGCTTAAGTTATTTACATGTTTGGATTCGTGGGAAGAAATGCCACAACTTTCATGTTTGAACTTTTCATTTTTGTTGAGAGATGAAGAAGATACAGGTCCTTTTGCTGGAAGTTGAAGATGAAGTGTAATCAGGACACGTTTTGTGTTATGTATTTATCATTTAAGTTATATTAACGGATGTATAGCCACCCTAGTGGTAAGACAGCACGCTGGTAACCTCAAGGTCACTGGTTCAAGACCCAGCGCTGCCTTTTGCTTTTTCTTTTCACATTTTTACAGTTTTTTTTTGGATTTTTGCAGCGCTGGCCTCCCCTTTGTTGGGCCTAACCCTTTTTTTGCTTATTTTTACTCCCTGTTTCATTTTCTAAACCCCCTGACTTTTCTTTATTTTTTTATTTTACTTTTTTTATTTTATTTTTTTCATTATTATTATTATTAATATTATTATTACTATTATTATTTTCATAAATCATAAAAAATCCAAATTTTATTTTTATTTATTATTCATACTTATATTTTTTTTATAAAACAAAAAGATAAAAAAAATTTCTTAAAATAACCAGATATGTAGTTCACCTCCTGAGTTAATTCCCCAGTAGAGTAACGGACAACTGAAGCTCCTAAAATTCTATTTCTCCCAAGACAGATGCCAACATTCCTCAGTAGATTCCTCCTCAACGACAGAAACAGGGACTCTCATCGAAGGAATGTCTCAGGAAATCAACATCCTTTAGATGGCATCTTTAAGCCCATCTCCAACGGTACTCCATCATGTCTTGGATGGCATCTTTAAGCCCATCTCCGACAATTCTCTAGAAACTTCCAAATGGCATATATAAGCCTATTCCCGATATCACAAATCAAGTACCACTTCATGCGAGTGCAAATTTCTTGGCACTCTAGTGTTCAATCATCTTCCACCTTCAGATCACGAAAGGCAGAGCAGCCAATCTACATCCTCAAGTTTAAGAAGATTGAACAGGGGAA